TTTAGTAGAATTGATAGTTTTGGATTATTAAATCAATGACTCTTATTTCTATTTTGATATTATTAACTTTATCAATAATAGCATTGAAGTTTGGAAATCCAAAACACACAACACAATTCTATGGTTATGTTTCTGTTTCAGTAACTACGGTCACGTGGGACAATGTTGATTTAGCCCTACGGTATATACATAAAGTTGTTAGAAATTCGGTTAGCTTGTAAATACAATTTTCGACAATATCACGTTCTCATGAAGTCATTGTTTCAGTGAAATGAAAAAAAAGAAAAACTCTGCTCGCGCTTTAAATTTAAACTAGTCCAAAGTCATTATTTTTTATTGTCCTATTTTTTCCTTTTTTGTTTTTTTTGCGACATTTTAATTCAATTTTATCCGATTTTCTATTATGTTTAGGGCATAATGTAGGTATTATTATGAAATAAAAATGCATATTTCGCAAAAAAAAGACGTGTAAAGAAATTTGATTTAAATAGCCGATTACTTGTTTGTTAATAAATAAATATTTCCAGTCAAAAGAATTGAATAAAATTTTACTGAAATGATTTTAGAGAATTCTACATAAATTATATTGAACAACAATAAATTATGTCTATAATTAAATAAAAGTACATAAAGAAAATTTATTAATATGAATAAAATATTCTATTTTTTCCTTCATTTTATTTTCTCTAATTTTATCCATTATTAGAAATTATTACCATTTATTTATTATTGTAATTTATAATTTACGTTATTTATTTTATATCTGAAACTAAATAACTAGCACTGTTTCATAATAAATACATATTCGCTTCCTTTCGTTTATGAGCGAATTTTCATGATATCTAGACGATAATTTTGTGAATTGTTTTAGCGCGAAATTAAAAAAAATTAAATTAAATTAGTATCTAGTATATAATTATATTTACTTAAATAATTAATTGCCTAACAATTGTCATTTATTCTTAGTTTCTACAAATGTAAAGGATTGTTGCCCGTTTATTTCTTAAATAAATAAATAATTAATAATATTTAATATTATGTGAGCGAATGGGAAGAAGAACTCGCCGAGCGCTCGATTGAAAAAGGGATAGTTCCAGTCAGGCAGCAGTGTGTGGCCCAAACCCTAGTAGAAATTTGTCATAGTATCTTTAAGGGCACTGGACAGTTCCACTGGAAAATTTCGAGGCACTTTACAGTTAAACTGGCTAAAAACTATAAAGTGATGTCACGCTAATTTCTTCAAGTTATTGTCCAGTCAAATTTTACAGTTTCTGATCATCAGTCCTGTAGAAAAACTATACAAAATAATTCACTTGGAAATGTCAAAACTTTCTTTATATTGACGTTACGTATTAAACACGTACAAATTTGAAAATATAACGTTAAATTTTTTTGTCAACAAATTAAATAAATTAAAATTTTACGAAACTATATTTTTACTGTTGGTGTATCTATTGTTCCGTATAATAAATGATTTATAATAAATTATCTGTAAAATTATTTTTAAATAACTACATAATTAAAAAAAAATATAAAAATTACTGATTCTTGAACACATGTCATTTTTTTACATTAAACAACATTCACTTTTTCCTTTAATTAAGCACAACACTGAAATAAATATTATTATTTTATCACACTACAAACTTATAAGTAAACCCTAATATGAAGAATTAATTCAGTTCAAACGAAAAATATCTAGCGGTTTCGGGGAGCGAACTCGGGTCACACTGGGACGAAATACCTGAACGCACGCTTTACGCATCACGGCCGTTCTAGTCGATGGACGATTCCGGAAAAATAAGAACCATACTCTACCGGCAGGTAAAGCAGTTCCCTTTTTCATCTTTTCTAGCTCAACTGGCGAATTACTGGACAGCTACTGCATAACACTCTAAAGTTGAACTTATTGATTATTACTGTATAGAAGTTCTGTCTGTCCAGTTATTCTCATGGTACTGTCTAGGCGTTCCGTGAAATTATGTTTCAAAGTTTGTCGTGGCGTTAGCGCTACCGTCAGTCCAGCAACTGAACAGTGTTGTGTAGACATTTTCCATAAATACATCAGAGTATACACTGAAAGAAATAATTCGCGGGTGTAACTAGAATTATGTCTATTTTTTCCGTAAGGAATTAGTAATAAATTGTTACTGTCTACTGTCATTAATTATAGACAGTTCTGTTATTCAGATCGGAGAGCTATACATATGTCAACGTCAATTCATCAATGTAAAACATAACCTCACTTTATTGGACCAATTCTAACTTTTTGTATGTAACAGGTTTGTTAAATTAATATTTATACATATAATAAGAGTATATAATCTTGAAAAGAAATTGTCTTCTGAATTTAAAAAATTAGTTATTTTAATTAACTCAATTAATTGAAGCGAATTTTAAAAAAATTTTTTTTTTCTAAAGGAATTTTCATTAAAAATAAATTTTGATTGAAAAGAAATTTTTATTATTAAATCAAAATTTTAATATTAAATAATTTAAAAAATTTGTTATTTAGTTGTCAACAGTAAAATAAAAGAACAAAATTAAAATTATAAAAACTATAAACTGTAAAACCAAAAGATTTATTTTATAGAAAATATTTCGAAAATGTCAATACACAACTGTTTAGTTACTGAAACTGGCGGTAGCGCTAACGCCACGACAAACTTTGGAACATCATTTCTCGGAACGCCTTGACAGTGCCATGAAAATAACTGTACAGGACTTCTATGCAGTAATAATCAAGTTCAACTTTATATTTTCTTTAACAGTGTTATGCAGTAGCTGTCTAGTAATTCGCCAGTTAAGCTAGATTAAACTTCCATGACTAAAACTGTACAGTAACTTGAATAAATCTAGTCATGCCACGACAAATTTCTACTAGGGAAGGAGCTCACTGCTACCTGGCTGATATTATCCCTTACAACCGCGCGCTCGGCGAGTTCTTCTTCCCATCCGCTCATGTAGAATCATTATAGTAAAATTTTATAGATTTTTGTTCGTTTATTTTTATTTAAGTTAAATAATTTAATCAAATCAAATAAATTGTATTTGAACCAATAATTTCAATATTTAAAGCAAAACCAGTTAAAAATTGAATAAATAAAAACTGAAAATTGAAGAATAAAAATGCGACTGTAAATGAAATTATTGTTTACAATATATTAAATAAAAATAATTTGCTTCAAGAAATATTTCTTTAACTGATTTACAAGTATTACGCTTGATTGACATTTAATCATTTATTTGAATTCAATAAATTTTTTCTCATTGTACTTTCATTAGATTTTAAATACTTTTAAGTGAAACAATAAAATCTACATATATTTTTTTGGGAGTTTTCAATCGATCCGAGAGAGAGAGAGAGAGAGAGTAAATTTATCAGCTATAAAGTCGAAACATTCGAATGGATGACTTTGATAAAGCTTCTGTTAAATAGATGGTTGCACTGTAGAATTACGTATGTTGCCGAATTTATCGCGTAAGCTAAATAAATCACGTCTTTATCTAAACTCCGGATCGTTACTTATCTTAAACTCAAGACTCATTTTCAAGTATATACTTTTTATAGAAATTATTTATATATATAAACATTTTCATAAATCCATCAAATTTTTTTTCTGTGAAACACATTTTTATATTCTTTATTTCTATTCAATCTCCTCTGCGGCTAAAAGTCAACAAAAAATGTAAACTGAAAAAAATTATTAATTTTTAATTTGATAATTTAATAAATTTTGATGTTTTTTAATATACACATCAAGAAAAGAACATTTATAATTTACTCTTAAAATGAAACAATTTAGGCGGGAAAATCCCAAAATTATATTATTCTTTGAAATTGGAATTTTTTTAAAGATAAACAGAAAAATTGCAGGTAAAAAAAGTCGTTAGACGTTAATATTATTTTATCCCATGAAAAGACTAACTTATAAGAGTTTCACGAAAGCACTGTAAGTGGTTTTTTTGTACCACCTGTTTTCGTTGATTTATATGACAAATAATCTTATTTTTAAAATATTTTAATAAATTTTAAAGAGCTTTTAGCAAGAAAAATTGAATATTATGTTAAGTTTACCTGTTTTCAATTGCACTACTAAGTTTTTGTACTTGTTTTAAAAGTCTTCCTTAAATTTCACCACAGTTTACCATATTTTGTTGCAACCGTTCTTTCGTTGTTTATTTTTTTAGCGCACTATGAACTATTTTTTCGTCGTGTTTAATTAATTTTATTAAGTAAACACGCAAAAATTTTGTAAAATTAGAAGGTTAGTTTAAGTGGAAAACAAATGAATTTCACATAATATTCAATGGATTTTTGTCCCTGTCTTTTTCACCCCCAAGACCAGTTTATATAAAAGCTACAATAAATTTCAAATTTAGTTCAATTTCCAAAAATTAACATTGTATACGTTTTGAGTATAGTTTTCTCCTTATATACAAACATTTACTTTTATTACCTAGTAGTATTTATAATCTAAATGGCTGATAAATCGGTTTAACAGTTTTTAAATGAAAGTCAAATGGTTTTTTTGCACCTTGGCTTTTTCACCCCGTTCTACTCTAGTATGATTAATATAAATGTATATAAATAAGATAAAAAACTTTTATAAATTTTAACAAATAAAATAAACACTTATTATTAGTATTAATTAAATTTATCGCTTAGGGGTATTTTAATTATACTGATAAATAATTATTATAATTAGAACAAATTATTTTAAATTATATCTTTTTAATTATGATTTTTATTCTTAAATTATTTTAATTAATTTATTCTAATTCAGAGAGTAGATTAGATTTTTTTCTAACTTTTTATTGAAAGAGAATCTAAATTAATAATAGGTAATTAATAAATTGTAATAAATGAATTATTATTATTATTATTATTATTATTATTATTATTATTATTATTATTATTATTATTATTGTTATTATCATCATTTTATTAATAATTTATGAATAACTGAAAAATTCTTTTTTATTTTGATAAAATTCAGATGGATACCGTCTCAATTGAAAATTGAAACTAATATTGTAAGTAACGATTACGATGGAATTGTTTTGGTGTCGGGAACCCCTCCAGGAAGCAATGAACCCGAACCTTTTAAAACTGTACTTTTTGCTGCGGCACAAATCGATGCTGGCCTTGGTAGCATTGTTGCAGTGTTGCCTATCAATTTACCGGCAAAACGGCTCATATACAGTCCAACAGGTTCTTTGAATTTGGATTATCACGATGTGCGAAGCTTCGGCGAAGCTGCGACCAATGGAATCAAACGGTAATCCCATTTTTCTTCTTTAACTCTTTTTTCTCTCTTTTTCCTTTTCTCTCTTTTTTTCTTTTCAGGCCTCAGATTCACGCGAATATTGATACTTTTTGACACTTTTTTCAGCTTATACAATTATTTAGCTACTATTTTTTTTAAATAAGTTACTAATAACACTTATTTTCTTAAAAAAATACTAATGGTACTATTTCTTAAACCGAGGTTTTAAATATTAATTTATTTACAGTGTAAAAAAAACATTCCCAAAAAGACACTTTCATATTTATGGCGAAAAAATTAAATTACTATTTTATCCTTCATAAAATTTTTTATAATAAAAAATAATTTTTACGTGAGAATAATTTAAATTGTCTATTTAATGACCATTTAAAACGTTTTTTATTGAAACACAAAACATTTTAATTATTTATAAATAAATAACGTGACTATTTGCAAACATTACGAATATTTTATGTCACTTTTGATACTATTTTTTATTTCTAAATTCAGTCCGAGACCAGACTGTTTTTTTTTCCTTTTTTAGTAACATGTTTAGGTATAAATAATTTGAGATGTATTGATAGTTACGAGTATTAAAAACAAATAGTTTATATTCAATTTAGAAAGGCATTATAATGTGGAAATACTTAATTTTTCTCTAAGGGATTAAAAAAAATTTCCATCCCTAATCGTTTATTTATTTTTAACAGTTATTTTTTTACAATATTTAAAAAATATCTCTAAAAAACGATAAATAAAAAGGGTTGAATAAAAATATTGCAAATGGCGTTAATATTCATTGGTTCGTGCAAGTTCGTTGCGGCCTCGTGAAGGTTCGTGATGAGAAATTTTAAGAAATTTAAAAAAAGCGGTTGATATTTATTTTTAAAGGCTGAATTTGTGTTTTGTACTTGATAAAAGTATCAAATAATTTATAATAAACTGTAAAATATGTTATTTAAGTTTCTGTATGAAATGTCAAAAATCGATCATATTTAACAATTTTTTTGACAAAGTAATTTAATCTTAGCAAATCAGAATTATTTAAGTAATAAGTATTTTAAATACTCTTTAATATTATTTAAATACTTTTTGTACTATTAGCTAAGAAATATAAAAAAATTTACATTATAAATTAACCATTCTTCCCAAGTACAATGCATTTATGTTTAAAAACCATTTTGGAAGTTACCTATCTTCCACGTCTGTTTTAGAAATCACTTATGTTAGAGGATCGTTTTGGAAACTACGTATCTTTCAGGTTCTGAGCAGAAACTACATATCTCCTACAGTCTCTTCAGAAGCTCTACATTTTATTATTATTACTATTATTTTAAAGTTAATATTTTGTTGTAAAATGAATTTTTTCGTAAGTTCATGCATTAAACGATCCTCTAACATAAGTGATTTCTAAAACAGACGTGGAAGATATCTTCTAAATTTAATGTACTTTTAATTAAATTAGCCCATTTTTGCCCATTTTAAAATTTGGTGGAGTTATATACAAAATAAGGAGAAAAATTTTTCCTTAGATATCATTTTTTGCAAAGGAAAATTTTGGTCTACTTATTCCTTTCTTAAATTAATTAATTTTCTCACTCGAAACCTTTATTTCTTTATTATAAGATGTCGAATTTTGAAGAAAAGTAAAAAAAAGTTAAAAATAGTTTATGTAATAAAAAATGAAGCACATTTGATATTGTTAAATTTTCCTTTTTCGAAATTCATTTGATATTATTTGATAGTTCTCCTAACTTCCGCATTATATTTCCTAAGCTAAACATGAAATCTCATTTAAATTTAATATATTGGATTAGATTAATCTGACCATTTTTGCTTATTTTGTAATTTAAAAAAATTATAAAAATAATGCATAGAGGTCCAGGAGAAACTTTTTCGTGGCTAAAAGTCTAAGTATACTAAAAATATAGCTTCAAACTCGTTACTTGGTGATTATTGGAGTCACTTATTTCAAATCAGACGTCAAATTTTTAAAATTCAAAATGGCGGATCAAATATGGCGAAATTTTTTTAAAAAAAATTCAACGAATTTCATTCAAAGTCACTTCTTGGGGGTTTTTATGGTTGCAAATTAAAAATTTGACGCCAGATTTACAAAATTCAAAATGTCAAAACCAATATGGGGAACAAATTAAAAAATGTTCAACAGATTCCCTTTAAACTCGTTGCTTGAGTGTTTTCGTGGTCGATGATTACGCATCCGACGTCAGTTTTTCAAAATTCAAAATAGCAAATTTTAAGTGCATTAAGAATTTTAATCTTTCTGGTTATTCGCTCTTTACCGAATTCAGAATCATCGACCGTGGACGTGGCGAAATCAAATTTTGAAGTGGATCTGTTAAATTTTTGAAAAATTGTCAGCCATATTGGATCTCCCATTTTGAATTTTGAAAATGTGACGTCTGATTTGTAATCATCGACCCCGCAAGCCCTCGAGTAACAAGTTCTCAGCAATTTTTAGTACATTATTTAGACTTTTGGTTATAAAATAGGGTCACTTGTCCCACTCTGAACCCTAATTAAACAAAAAATTCTGAACTTTTGGGTCCATCATTTTGAATTATTAATTACATATTCTTATTAAGAACTCATAAAAACCCTTAGGATAGTGTTCACTGCTTTTTCCAAAAGCAGACATCGAATTCGTAATCAGTGACCCCAAAAACTACCAAGTAACGATCTTACGACAGTTCCGAGAGAAGGTAAAAGGCTCCAAAAGAAGGTGTTAGATATAAATTTATTTATTTATTAATTAACAAAATAAATCCATCTTTAATCTTATTCCACTTTAACTATATATTTAAAAAACCACTTCTGACAAATTAAAGAAGAATCAAGTCAAAAACTAAATACCCTTATGTAAGCGTAATTGTTCTTCGGAATAATTAATTATTTAAAAGGTAGTGAATCTTTTTCTTAATTTCACTATTAATCAGTGAATCCGGTTAGACGGTACTCATTCATAAAATACAAAAAGGAGAAACTCTCAATAAAACACTTTTTAATTTATTTTTAGATTGGTAGGGGAAGTGCGCCGGTTGTGGGCACCCCTACGTAAACTTCGACGGCAAGCAGACTTTACTGATCTAAGTATTGCAAGTCGTGTTCGTTGACAATACGGACTTTTCGTATTGATAACGAAACAAATATATGCATTTGTGTAATAGCTGTGAACATAATAAAGAAAATTTGCATTAAATAAATAAAAAAGTAATTTTGTATTGTTTTCGAAGAGCAGCATATGGGTGTAGATTCGTTCAGAAAAGAAGGGTTTAATTTTTTTTTGCAGTGTTGTCATTATATTTTGTGATTTACCTTCGCGTTTAACCAAAATCCTGCATCACAAAATGTGTTGGTCTTTTTAAAAAATGACTGTCATTCCCGGTTGTGGGCACCTTTATGTTAAGGAGGCTCTACCATCTGACAATGATGAGGACTACTGTCTCATCTATCTAAACTTTCTGCCAAGGAAAGTGACAGCCGCAAACTCCATTAAATGCGATCAATATAGTCGTTCAGTGCATTAGAAGTGCGTTATGGTATGCGTACTAGCTACTTCACATGCAAGCATTATGCTTTTGTTAGCGATGAGCATAGTGTGAAAACGTGTCATCATTTTTGTTCTTTATCCTGGCAAATTCTCTTAAAATAAAGAAACTTTCATTTCTTCTTTATTTGTGTTGGTTTCCTTTAATATTTTTCCATTTTTAGTGGATTTTTCAAGGGTGCCCACAACCGGGTACAAAATTTTTTTTGTCAAAAAATTCCCATTTCACTAAATTTCTAATAAAACTTTTTTATTTAAAGGAATCAATTTAATTCCTTCACTGACAGTCACCTTAAACCTCTAGCTTTAAATTCGTACACATATATTTGTATAATATGCACATGGACAAACGTTATGAGGCAAAAAAAAGGGTGCCCACAACCGGAACACTTCCCTTATAATATTTATTAACCCCTTAACTGTTTGATGAAAATACAACATGGTTGTCCCAAACTGCCCAGCGGAATCTGATACTTTTTCAAATAGTATAATATATTTAAATTATAACTAATTATTCAATTATTTTCTAAAATATCATTAATGACCCTTATAATTTCTTATAATATTGATATAAAGAAAAATATCTATCAATTTATATACAAATTATATTTATTTTGAGTGATAGTGAACACGACCCACGGGTGGGTCGGAAACAGTTATGGCCATACTTTTTCACGACCCACCCGTGGGTCGGAAACAGGCAACGGGTTAAAATATCCTTACTTCACCCAAATACGATAACAAGACTTATTGATTAACAATTATTTTTTGTGTAATAAAAATATTCTTAATGTTTATAAAAAAGACATTTAAATTATTTCTCTACACCCAAATTAATGAGAAATCATACAATGTTTATTTAATTAAACTATAAAAACTTCTGTGAAAATATTGACTTTATATTGTTACCAGATTAAAAAATAATGTTAAGGGTAAGTCCAAGGTGTGAAATGTAAACAAACCGAAAGGTAAACAAACCAAACACAAAAATCGCACTTTTGTAACAGACGTTTCTCTTACAAAAATTAACATTCTTACACTTTCTTTACAAAAATGGAAAATTAGAGTTTCAAAGTGTCCAAAAAAATCATTATTGGCTATGAGCTATAAAAAGCAATTAGTAAAATAACTAATTAAAATGACCTGTAAAATAGCATTTTTGACGCGTTGCGAAAAATAAACTGTTTGAGTATATCAACCGCACTGACGATGAAGAAGTCTCATGTCAGCGATTGGACCTTCAACATGTGGAAAGGGAAATTTTTCCCTTTCCTCCTTGAAATTACAAGAGAAAGGGTAAAAACTTCTTCATCGTCCGTGCGGTTGATATAGTCAAACAGTTTAATTTTTCGCGACGTGAACTCTGTTGCTCGCTGCGCAAGCGCAGAGCGTACTAAGAATGCAATGACAGCACCATGTGGAAGTGCACATTTTGTTTTGATTG